TCCCTACCTTTTTTTTCTCTTCGAATTCTCATTGTATTGTGTGGCGCATATATATTGGCGCTCTCTTGTACCAATATTTATGTGTTCAAATAAATAAATAAATAAATAATATTGACAGAATCCTCAAGTTCAAACTAGTAATGCTTTCTAACAAATTATCACTTCAATAAACAATATGGTTAAAATGTTACATACATTATAAACTTTATACATATTAGTAAGCAACTATTCGAAATAACATTATCTCAGTGTAAAACACATAGATCTTTTTGTTTACAAACTCTTTAAATGTTAACTAAACTAATTTTATTGGTATATTTTTAAAAGTTACACTTTGATTATTATCGTCCACTATTCCTGAGAAGTCACTATTATTATTATTATTATTATTATTATTATTATTATTATTAGTAGTAGTAGTAGTAGTAGTAGTAGTAGTGTGGTGCGTGCTACTTATATTCATATAAGTAGTATATGACGACAGTAAGGAATGTAATGTCTGGTAGCAGAAGATGGGGAAGATCAGGAAAGGAAGAGCGGGAATAGAAAACAATTAGTATGGAAATGCAAGAACAATATTTATAGTCAGACAAAATAAAGCTACAGACATGTGATTAATGGGATAAGAAGGGCACACACATATACGCTTATATAAAAACAGTCTAGATTGATAAGCGAATAAATAACAAGGTCAAAGTATGACTCAAGTAGAATGAATAGAATGGGATGTCCGAAAGTTAGAATACAGTATATGCGCTTAACATAGTAACTGTCACTTCAGGCTCATATAGTTAGTTCCTTTTCAATGAGAGAGTTCGATTTTAATTATTCTCTTTAATATTATACGATTTTAACTTGATTCTGAATTTGATTAGCTGAAATAACTTTATCAAACAGAAATACTATTTATTCAACTATTCGATTATAAACAGAAAATCTTAGTGAAAGATAATCTACATTAGAGGATAAAATTAACTAGAGAATTATCTAAAAGTTGAAAGTACTTAAGAATCTATAGAAGGGTGGCATGAGTTAAAGGTTTGTAAAATATCCTCTAAATCAATATTAATGTCACAAACGATAAACGTGTCGTCCATATATCTGACGTATAGGCCGAATTGATCGATCATTGAGCTTAGTTGGTCGTTTTCTAGTTTTGCCATGAAACAATCTGCTAAAATCCTTCAATAGTAGCAATCTTACGTGTTAATAAATATAAATTTCTCTGGTAGAATAGTTATTGCAACTCCCACTATGTGGGATGATCTAGTGCTTTACATTTTCAACTTTAATGAATTGTCGGAAATAGAGCAAGTGCTACCTAATATCATCTAGTAGGTGATTAGGGCACTCTTTACATGTAAATTCATTAGCAACACTTGCATATATATATATTAGTATTTCTGAATACAAATGAACAGTAAAGATAAAAAGAGAGTACAAATACGTTTGTATCAATTTAAAATGTTCCACTAAATAATTCAAATAGCATAAAACTCTAAACTAGAATTTTCCGAAACAATATATTATATAAGTTTAAGTTCTTTTGCAGAACCTAACTACATAAATAACAAATAGTATTATAAAGTTGATTTTTGAATGATAGTAAAATGAATATCAGAAATACGGAATTACTTACTTATACCTGTGACCCCACATGGAGGAGCATAGGCCACTCACCAGCATTCTCCATTCACCTCTGTCCTGAGCAATCCTCTCTAGTTGTTTTCAGTTGTTATTCATCCTTTTCATGTCTGCTTCAGAATTCCGACGAAGTGTGTTCTTTGGCCTTCCTCTTTTTCGTTTCCCTTTACGATATCAGGTAAGCGCTTGCCTCATCATACACTTTGCTAATCTCACCAGTGTATGTCCTATCCAATTCCAACATCGTTCCCTAATTTCCTCTTCAGATAAAAACTGATTTGTTCGCTACCATAATAGGATGTTGTTGATATCAGACCAATGGACGTTGAATATCTTGTGTAGACAATTGTTCATAGATACTTGTACATTTTTGATGATAGTTGTGGTAGTTCTCCAAGTTTCAGCTCCGTACAGTAGAACTGTCTTGACGTTCGTATTGAAGATCCTGAATTTGGTATTACTTGGTAGTTTTTTTGAGTTCCATATGTTCTTCAATTGTAGGAATAGGAAACCTAAATTTGCAGATCTATAACAAAATACCTACAAACTAATGGATTATATTCTTCCCCGGTCGCCACGTGATCGATTCATTCATTCTTGTATCAAATACCTATAACTGATCCAATCAAATCACTGAGATATGATAAAAAATAACCTAATATGAATAGTTTGTTAGGAACATGTATAAATAATGATAAATATTTTATCAGAGCCGTAATTAATTGAAATAATAAATAAATAACTTTTTAAAGTTACTAATAACCACCTGATAATTTACGTATTAATTTATTTACAAAAACGACTAATCAAGTAGTTGATCAATTTTAATCCATTGTGGTGTATGCTACCAATGTCAGCCAATATAAGTAATATGTATCATTAATCGAAAGTGAAATATCTGACAGCAGAAGGCTAAGAAAATCAAAGAAAAGAGGACGAGAACAGAGAATGATTGATGTGGGAACAATGAAATCTGAGACGATTGATTGACATTTAACAAATGAATTATTTACTGTACGGTTCTCAGATTTTACTAAGACATTCAGTTGTCGCCACTAGTGTTCTCGTTCACTAAACTATAGTCATTTGTTTTTTCAACAGGATTCATAATACTTAAATCATAATCGATAACAGTCTAAGCGAAAAAAAGTAAAAAAAAAATAGAAATATGTTATGTAATAGAACGTTATCAGTTCACATTATAATAAAACGTTTCTGAAGTCATTCAAATAGAATGCCAACTTAAAAATAAATCAATAATAACACTACCATATTTAATTTATTTTTATTTTATTCTTTTTCCTTATTAACCAGTATCGATAAGAACTCCACTAGTGAAGCATCATTATTTGTTATTTGAAACAGTTGATACTGAAATTTTATTCTTTCATTAAAAATTCATAGTATTTTAATGAATAACATTTAGTATCAGAAGGAGTTTTTTAATATTAGAGTAATTTTAATAGTTGAGATCACTAGTCAATTGAAGTTAGACCATCACGGAAAACCTCGAAACACTGGACGGCTGTTTCATCCTATTGTGGGACTGCTCAGAAGTACACATCCACGATGATGGATGTGTCTGTTCAATTTCGTGGATTGGTTGAAGTTAGACATTAACACCGTTGGATGACGACTCAGTGGTCTAGTGGTTAAGCGTTCGCGCGCCAGACCGATAGGTCTTGAGTTCGAATCTCGCGAGGCGGGATCTTGGATGCGCACTGCTGAGGACGAAACAGTCATCCAGTGCTTCCACGTTTTCCATGGCGTTCTTGATTCAATTGACTCATGATCTCAACTATTAGAATAACATTTACTTGATTTTAATATAAAACAAATATGAACTAACAACAATCAATCGTGATCATTTTTCCTAATGTTAAATAAATAAATTGTAACTTATGAAATTTTAATTGAATAATAATAGTATGTGCTCTTTCCTTGAATGGAAAGCTTCAAAATCTTTTGTTTTAGAAATCCTGATGATACATTATTAAAAAACCACTATTTTATTCATTTCAAACATTTAATTATGCTACAAATTATTACTAATGTACTATGGAAATTGATACTCAACATCTATCGGTCGGATACCATCAGTAGTAGCCTTCTGTGGGAGAAAACAAACCAGCTTCCAGATGAATAGGAAATTAGGAAAAGATTATGGAAATGGATAGGACATATATTACGCAAATCATCAAACTGTATCACGAGACAAACCCTAACTTGGAATCCTGAGGTAAGCGGAAAAAAGGGAGGCCAAAGAACACATTACTTCAGGAAATAGAATCAGATATGAAAAGGATGAATAACAACTGGAAAGAGCTGGAAAGGATTGCCCAGGACAGGGTTGGATCGCGAATGCTGGTGAGTAGCCTATGCTCCTTTACGAGGAGTAACAGGCGTAAGTAAGTAAGTACTATGGAAATTAAATTTTCAAAAATAAACTGAGTATCTGTGAACAATTTATTTCAGTATATACATATAAATGTCGGAATTCAAGAACATAACATCTATATACTCCAATACATTCAATAACTTGTAAGTATAATATACTACTTTAGAAGATTTAACAACATTACTCATTATTATCACCTTTTGAAGAAAGAACATTATAAGGAACAATTATACAGTTACATTATTTCATAATGAAAAATGACGAGTTATACCAAGTATAAAAAAATAACCAACAAATGAATCTATATTTGAATTTTTAGGCAAAAAAAGAAAACAAAATGGTAATTAGAAAAAAAAGTGGTCATAGAGATGAAAAAAACTTTGAAACAATAATAATAATAATAATAGATAATCATATTATTAAATATTAAAGTATAAAAATTTAAAAGTAAGAACAATTAGATTCTCTTCAAATAAACAAGAAATATTGACTGAAATTGAACATTGAACATTCTGATATCTATTACTAATGATTTTTAAAAAAAATTAAACCGATTCTATCTGAAAAGATAATGACTTCATAGGTGAGTAGGAAAAAAATATGAATAACATGGAAACCTAATCTAAATATGAGTTTGTTAATTTGAATAAATAAATAAGGAAATAAAATAAATTAATACTGACTATTCTTATAATCCATGATATAATGTACAGTGAAGTAATCACAACTGTTATACAATGTACGATAAGATTTGATTTGATCCATTAGAAGAAAAATAAAGAACGAAACATCTTTTTTTTCATTACATTAATTCACCGTACTACGTATAGGCAATACAGAGCTAATTGCTATGAAATACAGTCACAGTGAGGAAAACAATCGGTGTAATAAATTAAAATGAGAAATGTATGTGCATCTATGTATCTATATCTGTTAATTAACACCAGAAAAAATAAGATTATCTAGAAATTTTCGTTTCATATTGTTGTTCATTTTGTAAATGTTTGTCATGAAGTTCTTCCATACAATGAAAACTTAATTGTTTACTATATTCCAATTGATAAGATTTTTGTTGACGTTTCTGGTAATATTGATCATGGGGTTGATGATACTGGCAATGATGATAATGATTATGACGACGATGACGGTGAGTACGATAATGTTGATAATAGTAAAGACTATGAGGAGAGCAACGACCACTGCAATGAGAAAAATCAAAATATCCTAGAGGAAAGTCCAAGTATGAGTAACAAGGTAAGTCAGATAAATCATAGTTATAATGATTATTATTATTAGTAGTATTGTTATTCTGACTATTGATGAGTCTATGATTACTGTTATTATTTAGTATAATATTAGCATTATTGTTGGTACTAATATTCATACTATTGATATTATTATGATGATGTTGATTAATCATTCTCTTTTTATTACAATTACATAATATTTTTGAACACATATTTGTAATTAGTTTATATAATGTTTGTCTAAATACTGGTAAAAATGCCCAATATAAAAAAAAATCAAATGCATGATTAAATGAATCAACAGAGCTAAATAATTTTGATAATTGTATAATTTTATATGCATAAATTGGATAAATTAATTCATATTTATTAAAATGTACTTTTTGTCGTAATATCATTAATGCAACTAATGGAATTGATAAACAAGTAAACATAATACTTATAGCTAAATGAGTAATCACTTTACTTAATTCACTATATGATTGTCTATCATGATAACCATTTAATTTTGAACGTTTTATAGTTGATTTTAATTTACATGATATTAAAATATTCATTATAAAAATTAAAATAGCCGGTAATATTGTAACACCAATAATATATAAATATAATACATATTTTACTCCACCAGCCACTGGATCAACATATTGACAATTAGATTTTTCTCTTGAATCATCTTTTAAATCAGCATAAATTAAATGAGGTATATTTAATAGAAAACAAATTACATAGATTATAAATATAGATAATTTAGCTATACGTAAATCTAATATTTGTTCAACTTGTTTAGCACAATATATTGAACATACACGATCTATACTAAATAACATTAGAATAAATGATGCAATTAATGCAGATACATCAGATAAATATGTTAATAATTTACATGTAAATGATGAATATGAATCAACTTGATACCAAATATAACAATCCGTTGCCCATTTTAAACCACGACCTAAAAAATCATCAATTAATGTATTCACAATTAATTGTATTAAATGTGCTAATGCCATCCATATTGCATATAAATTAAACCGACATGTTTGTTGTTTTTCTAATATATTAAATATAATAATTACAAAAATATTTGCTGGTATACCAATAAATGCAAGTAAAGGTGATACATATGCACGAAAATTATATACCATAATTTCTTCATTTGTTAATGATTTTAAACAATCCGATGGATAATTAGTTAATGATTTCATAATTATACTTTAATAGAATAAAATGAAATTCATGTAATAATCAAATGAACATTTAAATGATCAACATGATTCTACTGACATTATCAATTAATATAAACAAATTTGATATTTATATAGTGAATGAAATAAAAGAAGTTTTTTTATTGGTTAGAAAAATAAATAAATAAAAAGATTAGAATTGTGATTGGTGAATTTTAGTTGTTAAGAGAAATACTATTATTTGTATGATAAATATAAACTGAATATATTTTATAAAGAACATTTTCAATCTATATTATTGTTGTAGATTTTGATTTTTAATAAATGAACTAAGAAATTAATCTCTTTATTATAATTGTAACTTCAAGAATGACTATTTGGAAATGAAACCGACGTATTTATGGTTTTAAAACTAAACTTCTAGATGACTCTAGTTGAATTTTGTTTAACATATTAAAAACAATATGGTATGGTGAATAGCATTACCTTACGCTACAATTTAATGTTAAAATTACAGTTTTACATTAAGCTACTGATTCTTATTCATTATCTTTGGAAAGAATTAATGAGGATTTTTTTCATTTTATATGCTGTTTACTTGAAATTTAATCAAATACTGTCATCAAGTTGTTATATGTTTCCGTGAACAATTATAATTGTAATCTAAAGATGTACTTTGAGGAGATTTACATTTATTTAACAGAGCATAAAAGTAACTGCCATCTTAATTAGGCTAAGAACTTTTTTATTCGTTTCTCAAACAGTGGTGATAACGTATAAAAATCTACAGATAAATGTGATAATAAGTCACAGAATCTTTAAAACATTAAACGAAATAAATTGTGCGTGGAAATGCGTCTCAAATTACCTCAAACATGATAAAGAGGCAATCTAAGTATAAACTAAATATGAGACTTCTCAGTAGTAGCAAGCTGTTAGGATAGTCGGAAAAATATACCAACAATTATCGTGTTAAGTCTATGGTGGCCTTGGACTTTAAATATACATTTCCTATTGGTCGATGTTTGTTTCACTTGTTAAATATCACCCGTTACAACACAAGCCATGTTTGATGGGATGAGAAAACAGATGGAAAAAAATCTTAGTTTATTAAAGAGAATGAGCTGGATAAAACTAGATAAAATATGCCTTTAGTAACTTTTTAAACCAAGCAAGTGAAACGGTTAGAGGAACACTGAAAAAAACGTTCAGCCGGGTTTCAAATATATCCTAGTTACATACAACCTGGCCGTCATCATTTGAAAAGGCTGCAAAAGCGTTGAACTGTACAAAGTGACTACATTTTAATAGATGGATGGATACACTTGAACATAAGTTTCCTGTTGATTGATATTCATCAGAAAGATGTACAAGCAACTCTTATTACTAGTATATGATCGTTCAGTGTAAGCTTTTGCTCATTCTGTCACTCTCTTAGACTTACTTCAGAATTTTAATCCAAATAACACTGTACTTACTTACTTACGCCTGTTACTCCTCGTGAAGGAGCATAGGCCGCTCACCAGCGTTCTCCATCCAACCCTGTCCTGGGCAATCCTTTCTAGCTCCGTCCAGTTGTAATTCATCGTTTTCATATCTGCTTCTATTATCCGACGCAATGTGTTCTTTGGCCTTCCTCTTTTTCGCTTCCCCTCAGGATTCCAAGTTAGGGCTTGCCTCGTGATGCAGTTTGACGATTTGCGTAATGTATGTCCTATCCATTTCCATCGTCTTTTCCTAATTTCCTCTTCAGCTGGAAGTTGGTTTGTTCTCTCCCACAGAAGGCTGTTGCTGATGGTATCCGGCCAATGGATGTTGAGTATCTTGCGAAGGCAGCTATTTATAAATACTTGTACTTTCTTGATTGTGGTTGTTGTAGTTCTCCAAGTTTCAGCTCCATACAGTAGAACTGCCTTGACGTTCGTATTGAAGATTCTCACTTTGATATTGGCTGAAAGTTGTTTTGAGTTCCATATGTTCTTCAATTGTAGGAATGCGACCCTTGCTTTACCGATCCTCGCCTTTACGTCTGCATCTGAGCCTCCTTGTTCATCGATGATGCTTCCCAGATATGTGAAGGATTCTACATCTTCCAGAGTTTCGCCATCAAGAGTGATTGGATTGCTGTTCTCCGCTTTGAATTTGAGGACCTTAGTTTTCCCTTTGTGTATGCTGAGGCCTACTGATGCAGAGACTGCTGCTACACTGGCTGTCTTCATCTGCATCTGTTCGTGTGTACGTGATAGGAGGGCTAGGTCATCTGCGAAGTCCAAATCGTCTAATTGATTCTGAGCTGTCCATTGTATTCCATGTTTTCCTTCAGATGTTGAGGTCTTCATAATCCAGTCGACCACCAGGAGAAAAAGGAAGGGAGAGAGTAAACAGCCTTGTCTGACTCCGGTCCTTACTTGGAATGCATCTGTCAGCTGTCCTCCATGCACTACTTTGCACTGTAGTCCGTCGTATGAGTTCCGGATTATATTGACAATCTTCTCAGGAATTCCGTAGTGTCGAAGAAGTTTCCATAACGTCCTCCTGTCTACACTGTCGAATGCCTTTTCATAATCAATGAAGTTGATGTATAATGATGAGTTCCACTCAACTGATTGTTCGACGATGATCCGTAGTGTTGCAATTTGGTCTGTGCACGACCGATCCTTACGGAATCCAGCTTGTTGATCTCGAAATTGGGCGTCTACTGCATCCTTCATCCGGTTCAGCAACACTCTGTTGAAGACTTTCCCTGGTATTGACAGTAGTGTTATGCCTCTGTAGTTTTCACATTTGCTCAGATCTCCTTTCTTTGGAATCTTGACGAGGTGTCCTTCTTTCCAGTCCATCGGCACTTGTTCCTCCTCCCAAATCTTTTTGAATAGAAGATAAAGCATGCTTGTGGTTGTTTCGATGTCTGATTTCAGTGCTTCAGCTGGTATGTTGTCGGGTCCTGCTGCTTTCCCGTTCTTGATTTGTCTGACGGCCATTCTAATTTCTTCCGTAGTTGGTGGATTGACATCTATAGGAAGATCTATGTGTGCTGCTTCGATGTCAGGTGGATTCATTGGAGCCGGCCTATTCAGGAGTTCCTCGAAGTATTCTACCCATCTGTTACGTTGTTGTTGAATTTCGGTGATTGGCTTGCCTTCTTTGTCTTTGACCGGCCTCTCTGGTTTACTGTATTTCCCTGATAGTTTCTTCGTTGTATCGTAAAGCTGTTTCATGTTTCCTTCTCTAGCAGCTTTTTCTGCCGTCGTTGCTAGTTCTTCAACGTATTTCTTCTTGTCGGCTCTAATGCTCCTCTTCACTTGTTTGTTTGCTTCTATGTATTCAGCTTGTGCTTGGACTTTCTCTGCTCGTGTTCGGCTGTTGTTTATTGCTGCCTTCTTGTTCTTCCTTTCTTTGATCTTGTCCACTGTTTCTGTAGAGATCCATTCCTTATGATGGTATTTCTTTAGACCGAGAACCTCTTGACACGTTGAAGTTAATGCTTCCTTGATGCCTTTCCAGTTGTCCTCCATAGTAGTTCCTTCTTCTTTCAGTAGATCTCGTAAGGCTTGGAACCTGTTGTTGAGAGCTATCTTGAATTCATTGAGTTTGACAGTATCTCGAAGGAAGGCTGTATTGAACCTTTGTATTGCTGTTTGTCCACTTGTCCAGTTCTTTTTTAGCTTCAGTTTCAAATTGGCTACAACTAGGTGGTGATCTGAAGCTACGTCAGCACCTCTCCTGGTTCTCACATCTTCCATTGTCCTTCGGAATTTTTTGTTGATGCAAATATGATCTATTTGGTTCTCTGTAGTGTGGTCCGGTGAGATCCATGTAGCCTTGTGTATACGCTTGTGTGGAAATATTGTGCCTCCTATGACCAATTTGTTGAATGCGCATAGATTTGCAAATCTTTCTCCATTTTCGTTTCTTTCTCCCAGTCCATGTCGTCCCATAATATCTTCATATCCAGTGTTGTCTATTCCGACTTTGGCATTTAGATCTCCCATTAGAATGGTGAGGTCCTTTCTTGGGCATTTCTCTATCACTGACTGCAGCCGCTCGTAGAATTGATCTTTAATGTCGTCGTTGCTATCATTGGTGGGTGCATAACATTGGATAATATTCATTAAGATCCCCTCCTTCTTTGTTTTGAATGATGCTTTGATGATTCTGGATCCGTGAGATTCCCATCCTACAAGTGCATTTCGTGCTACTTTGGACAGCATAAGAGCGACTCCCTGAGTGTGTGGAGCATTGTCCTCTTCGTGACCGGAGTATAGCAGCATCTCTCCCGTAGCTAGCCTTTTCTGTCCAGCTTGGGTCCAGTGGGTTTCGCTGATTCCCAGTACTGCTAAGTTGTATCTCCTCAGTTCCATTGATATTTGACTGGTCTTCCCGGTTTCCCACATTGTTCGAACGTTCCATGTACCTATAAAAATTTTTGCTCTGGTTGTTAGAAGGGGCATCGGCCTCGTGGCTTCCGAAGGAACTCGGCTTTCACCATGAAGCGTCATAATTCTTCTAAATGAAGACCTTCTAACGCCCAGTGCAGAGTTAAAATGGTTTGGATTATTTTTTCTGGTAAGCGTTTTTTTAGCGAGTTAGTTTTCTACGGGATGGGGACGCTAACCCCATGCCCAACCCTCCTCCTTTACCCGGGCTTGAGACCGGCAGCAACCCTATAAGAGCTACAGGCGGAGTTCAAATAACACTGTAGTGACATTGAATTAAACGCCATATTTATTTAGCGAAGGATGTCATCGTTAACGATAGTAAAAATACGCTAAAATGAAGGTGAATTTTACTTGAACGAAATAAGCTTAACAAATACCTCACATTATTAATAATAAAAGTCCTAACAGTTCAACATTTATTTTTTTTAAATCTTTTCAACTTTGAATTGCGCATCATACTAGTAAATTTTTAATTTCATTAATTACACTTTTCCCCCAGCTGATATATAAACTTCATTGATTTTCGTCTAAATGACAATAAATGCAAAATAAATAAGAACTAGCGTTTCACTCATGTAATAA